TACATTATCTCACCGACCTGTGCTGTCAGCAGTATTACATTATCTCACTGACCTCTGCTGTCAGCAGTATTACATTATCTCACAGACCTGTGCTGTCAGCAGTATTACATTATCTCACTGACCTCTGCTGTCAGCAGTATTACACTATCTCACAGACCTGTGCTGTCAGCAGTATTACGTTATCTCACTGACCTCTGCTGTCAGCAATATTATGCTATCTCACAGACCTGTGCTGTCAGCTCCTTGAGGGTGGGCAGCTACAGGTCACCACAGGGGTACAGGACCCTTTGGGAGGCTGTTGCCCTGCCCCGTCAGGGGAGTCAGGGGTGAGTGTTGGTACATCACTGTAGCTTGTGCTTCAGCTGCCTAATCCCCTTGAACACTGGGGCAGGATTCACCCCAAAGCATGAGGCAGACTAACTCTGCTGGACTAACTCCTTATGACTGGACTAACATGAGATCCCAGGCTGGCATGACCCCTAAAATGGGATTATATCTGAATTCTGCACAGGCCTAATACACAGAGAGACTCTGTTTTCGGAAGAGGGGGGAAAACCATAAAGGCATGGATCCACCTTAACCCTTAACCAGCAAGCCATGACAAACTCATGCTGAACACCACATGGCACTAACGCTCTGTTTCTGTACCTATGGGGGTTCATGCAGCTGCTCCTTGGCCATGGATGCATAAGCATGTGTGAAGATCCATGTCGCCCTCTGTTCTGTTGGGCCTCTGAGCCACAGTATCATCCTGCAGCAGGCTTTTCAGGTCTAACCACACCCATGGCCATGCAAGCCCATGGTCAGTTGGTGTGTTGGCATGTCATTGCTGTGGTAACCTGCTGACTGTGGCCTGCTCTCTGTGACGTCCCGACAGGTACCGTACTTCATCGCTCCAGACCCCAAGAGTCTGCCCTCCATCCCTGAGAGTGTAAGCTTCTCCACCGACACCGGCAACTGCTCTAACACCCCCTTGCTGTGTACCTGCTACTTCCAGCAGGATGGAATATTGACATATGATCACACCACTGACTGCCCCAATGTGTTTATTTGGGCCTGTGTGTGTGGTCTGTGCACTGTGCATGGGAGTTCTACTTACACAAATATGGTCTGAGGACAGAACAAAAATATTATTGGTTCATTGAGATAACCAATCAGATTGTACAGGAGGTAGGTCGAAGCGACTAGAGGAGGCAGGACTGAGACATCTGATTGGTTGATCCTGCCTCCTCTAGTTGCTTGGACCCACCATTTTTCATTCTGCCCTCAGAACACTTTTGTGTAAGTAAAACACCCTTGTGCATATGTGTGTGGCCAGTACTTGTATGTGTGTGTGTGTGTGGTCTGTGCTTATGTATGCATGGTCTGTGCTCATGTGTGTGGGTTGTGCATGTGTGTGTGTGTGTGGTCTGTGCTCTAGCATGTGTGTGGTCTGTACTTGTGCATGTATGTGGTGTTTGCTTGAGTGTGTGATGTTTGTGCTCGTGGGTGTGGTCTCTGTGTATGTGTATGATCTGGACTAGTGCGTGTGGTCTTTGGTGATGTGTGTGTGGTCTGTACTTGTGTGTGTGTGTGTGTGGCCTTTGCTTGTGTGTGTGTGTGTGTGGCCTTTGCTTGTGTGTTTGGTCTGTGCTTAAGCGGGTGTAGTCTGCGCTTGTGCATGTGCCTGATCTATACTTGTTTGTGTGGTCTTTGTTGATGTGTGTGTGGTCTTTGCTCATGTGCCTGGTCTGTGCTTGTTTGTGTGGTTTCTGTTCATGCATGTGTTCTGCACTCATGCGTGTGTGTGACTCTTTTCCAGAGGAACCTGACAGAGTTGGTGGTTTCAGTGGATGTCAGTAACCTGCTGCAGCTTTATGCCAGCATGCTGTTTGAGAGGCGTATCCTCCTCTACTCCAGCAAGCTGAGCACAGTGAGTGCCCCCTCCCATCCTCTTGCGCCACTATTGGCTCTCACCAAGTGTCATGTGATGGCATTTCAGAAGTGATGATTTAGGCTTTAAGGCCTGCACACAGACTGACTGTGATTAGCTTTTTCAGGACTGCAGATTGGCAGTCCTCTTATGTGATTGACTGTGATAGTGTTTCAGAAATGCTGATTGGCTCTCTGCCCCTTCCCAGCTAACGGCCTGCGTCCACGCCTGCAGCTCTGTGCTCTTCCCCATGTACTGGCAGCACATTTTCATTCCCGTTCTTCCTCCACATCTACTCGACTATTGCTGGTGGGTCTCTCTGTGATGGTCTGCAGGCATTTTCTGAAGGACACGTGAGCCGCGGCGATTATGATTGGCTGATAAAAAAAATTATTTAAAACAAAAATAATGATAGAACTGGAGGTGAGGAAACCATGAGTGATGGAGTTTTCTTTTGTCTTTTTTTCTTCTTCTCTCCTCTCCCTCTTCATGCCCTAGTGCTCCCATGCCCTACCTGATTGGAGTCCATTCAAGTCTCTCTGAGGTACCCACCCAGTGCCATTCAGAATCAGAATCAGAATTAAAATCCATCATTGTCATTGCAGAATTGTAGACACACAAAGTAAGTCCTGATGGCAGCATCAGTAAAACAACACAGACACATGTCAAGGGACAGTAACAGATACAATAAAGCAAACAATTAATAAAGCAAACAATTAATAAACAAACAATTAATAAACAAACGATTAATAAACAAACGATTAATAAACAAACAATTAATAAACAAACGATTAATAAACAATGCACAATAAATAACACAAAACTGGGATTTTTATAGTAATGTGTAAAATAAAATTTAAAAACCAAGTGGAATGTGGGGTGACTATAACGTAAGAACAAGATAATGTAAAATAAGGTGACGGTGACGAGTATGTGAAGAAAGTGCCAAGTGTAGCAGTGATGACAGTGGGTGCCACACCCCCGGGTGCCATGCCCCCACACCCCCGGGTGCCACGCCGCCAGGTCCCCGGGCCGCTCATTTGGCTGAGAGCTGAACACTGTGTTCCACAGAGGGTGCGAAGCTGTGCCTTGGAAGATGTGGTGATCCTGAATATAGACACAAACACCATGGAGTCTCCCTTTGACGACCTGAGGAGGATTCCCTCATACGTGGTGATTCCCTGAACGGGCTGAGGCTTGGGGGGCGGGGAGGGATGGGGGGGTGCCCTTCAGACCTGAACCTCTTACCTGTCAGTGCTCCTCAGGTGTCCGCTTTAAAGGTGAGGTTGAAGAAGCAGTCTGCAGCCACGGGGACGGGGGTGGCCAGGGCCTTCCTGAGGGCGCAGGCCGAGCTCTTTGGGGGTTACAGAGAGGCCCTGACCAGGCCGACGGTGAGCCAGACTCAGGGGTGTGTCTGGGGGGCTGTTAATGTTCTGTTTCTATGCATTCTTTTAAAAACATAAGCACTCAGCAATGTTATGTGACAGGAAGCATCCCATAATCTCGTTTTTTTATTTCCCAAAGGAGGGTGGACCCATTGCTTTCTGCAAGAAATCTTTTCTGAACCATAAATCCAAATCCATGAGGCACTTCCTGGAGAGTGCAGTCCACCTGCAGTTCTTCAAGCAGGTACCAAAGCAGAGATCAGTGGAAGGGGCTGGATGGGCTGCCCGTGGGACACTGCCCCCTAGTGGTTGTGAAGCTCGCTAACATGAATGAGAGGTTAAAAAATGAAATGATATAATGCTGTATTTGCCATTTGCACAAGTACAGGTGCATTGAAATTCTTCTTTTCACATATCCCATCATTTACTGCTTTGAGACACACACACATACATGGGTGAGAGAAGTTTGGAGTCGGGTCTGCGTAGGTTCAGGCCACTTTTCTGGCATCCCTGGAGAATTTTGGGGGGTTAAGGGCCTTGCTGTGACTATTCTGCCGAGGCCCAAACTGGTGCCTCCTGATCACCAGTAGGGCTGTCAGGATATCTGATTTTTACTACACGCTTATCATGACCCAATGAATTAGCAATATTCATATAATTTCAATATCCAGGGCTACTGTACTGGCGTTAACTTACACCCACTGCTCTGCCGCGTGGCACACAGCGCCCCCTGGTAACAGAGCTGGCAGAGCAGGCCATATCAGCATCCGCGTGGCACACAGCGCCCCCTGGTAACAGAGCTGGCAGTGCAGGCCATATCAGCATCCGCGTGGCACACAGCCACGGGCGGCATTATCACCACTCAAACCATGCATTTGTGGGCCTGCCCCTGCCCCCCCCCACCACTGGCCACGAACAGTCACTACTGTAGAGGGGGCCCAAAGTGACTTTCTGAGAAAGAACAAACGCCCCTGTGGTGGCACTAGGGGGCACCATAGCCCCTTCTCACATTTTGGATTCTTATCGTCACATGTTGGTGTCCCGCTCAGTTCATCGATGCGCGCCTGGACATGCTGAACCATGGGAGGGAGCCAGCGGACTTCTTCGAGGACGAGATCCTTCAGTGCACTGCCTCTGCAGGTAGGAGCTGCCTCGGGAGAGGACAGGCCGCGAGGTCGCCCATGTGCCTCTGAGCATCTCTCTGAGATACTGAAGCTGCCTCTGTTGACCTTCCAGCAGGTACTAGGCCATACCAGCAGTGGGTGGGCAACCTCAAGGTACTTATTACTCATTTGCTGTGTTACTCATCCAAGTACATTTAACTAATGCAAGTATTACATGAGTAAAATGCAGCATTGCTTTCATATATTACATTCTCTTTTGCGTTTTTTGCACGGATGCAGTTGCAGACTGTTCTTTAGTCTGAATAGGATATCACTATGTTTTTTGACCGGTTGTCTGACGTGGCTGCTGATTGGTGATTTCAGCCACAATACTGTGATTTCTGTGTCCTTAGATAGGAGGCGGGGCTATCCTCCATACTGTTAAGTCCAAAGCCAACATGTGCAAGTCTGTGAGTACCGAGCTGATACCCAGAGAGCTGTCAGAAAGCCTGTGAGATGCATGTGATCACTGCCTGAACCGTACTCTGTCCTTGCAGGCCACGGCTCAAGCCAAGTCCTGTCTGAGGAATATCACTGCCAGTAAGGTAAGAGAGAGAGTGTGTGTGTGTGTATGTCTGTGTGTGCATGTGTGTCTGTGTGTCTGTGTGTGTGCGTGTGTGTGTGTCTGTGTGTGTGTGTGTGTGTGTG